TTTTACAAACGATACCAAACTTTTCTTTGTCTTTTTATTTATATTGTCTAGGTTTATATTTCAAATTTTATTACAGAAGAACTTTTATGGAATTAAATTTTATGTTTAATACATACTACTTTACTTATTGTTAGTATAGTGCGGGATATGATTACTTTTCGACAATTTTTTGTATGTCTTTTTGTCGATTTCTCTGATAACATTCCAGACATAATCTCCCATCATCCCTGTGTGCTAGTAACCTTGATAACGTCTTAAAATGGACAAACTAGATAAATCATGGATTCCTCATAAAGTTTGTAAGTCCTGTGTTGCGTCTTTCCGGTTGTGGAAAAAAGGAGAACGTTCTTGATTAGACTTTGGTATTGCTATGATCTAGATGGAGTCTAAGAATCATTTCGATAATTGTTACTTTAGCGTAGTAGACGCTAAAGGTTTTAATCGTAATCAAACGAGGAGATAAGTCTGGATCACTTACAGTCTCCAAAATGTCCTATTCTACACAGTGAAAATCTCCCTTGGCCTATTTACGTTTCAAAAATAATTCGCATGCCCTCAGGAACAATGATGTTGCCAAATTCACAGAAATTGGGATAGTCTACCAGTGGAAGTGAATAGGAGGGTGAACATTACAATATTACAGCAATAACAATTACAACATACAGAACGCGAGAAAGTGGGCTATTACAAGTATTTAGTGAAAATAAAGGACTGGTGTACTGTAATGATATCGCGAAGCTGCTTCTAGACATGTGTTTAAAAGAATACAAACCTATACTGAGTGGCGCCTTTTTATTGGAAATAAGGTGGAATATTTGATGGTCCTCAAATACGGTAATTGATGAAAGACAGATTTTATTAAAGTTATGACTGTTCCAGAAAGTAAAGCTTGGAAAAGTTTTGTGTTGGTAGTCGAAAATTTCCTAGGTAACCATAAAACACCAAATTATGAAGAAATTGTACAAAATATGCTGACAAACTTTCAAACTCTAGGAGCAAATATGAGTTTCAAGTTACACTATTTCCGCAATCATCTGGATAAATTTCCGGATAATTTAGGAAATTATAGTGACGAACAGGGAGAGCGGGTCCACCAGGATCTAAAAGTGATGGAGGAAAGGTATCAGGGTCGATGGGATTTTCACATGATGGCAGATTACTGTTGGTCTTTAAAAAGAGATTGTCCCCTGAAAAATTATAAAAGAAATGAAAAAAAAGAGTAAATCTTACAAAATCACTGATAGTCTCATGAATTGTGAGCATAAATATATACAAAATCAATCTTATATCTAGGACAACAAAACCACTGTAGACCAGAGTAATGGCTCCCCTGGTTTAAACATTCCCAATATTACTGAAAGGTTATTCGTTAACGAACATCTCACTATACACAATGCCTAGCTGTTGAAGTCAACTAAATCGGCTTGTCCTAATAAAGATTATAAATACGTGTGGTGGAAAAATTGCGTCATTCATGTGCATCGGGATGATCAATCAAGAGCTATGGTTATCAAATCTGAAGCTGATTTATTAAAACTTTAACTTATGTATCGTTAACATGATCCGGCTGTTCTAATTTGATCTCCTCCAGAGTCATGGGTTTGTCAATTATTGTATTAGAACATGCGTGGTTTGCGCAACAATTGTAATTGTGACGTTATTTGTCTCACTGAGACTAATCTTAATGACTCGATCTATGATGGGGAGCTGCTTTGCAGTGATTATATTATTTTCAGACGAGACAGAAAGTCTTCGATCTCTCATAAGGAGGATGGTGCTGGTGTTCTTGTGGCTATACGACGAAGCGTGTCAGCTATACCTCTACCAGAATTAACAGCAATCTTGCTTCATGTAGTACTGCTGCATAGTCCTTTCCACCATGACAATGGGTTCATCGATGCCTGGCTTGTATTTTCCCATACAAAAGCTCTACTCCACAAACCTTCATTAGACTTAATAATAATATCAGCCATAACGTCTAGTTTCATTTGCTTGGTTACAGTATATATAAATTCCATAGCGTCAATTTTCTCTTCGTGAGAGAGATTGCATCTTTTGGAGGATGGGTCTAACATTGTAGCAGCCAAGTGTATAAGGCTCCAACGAGATTTGCAAGGTGATGTAAGGCTTATGTTTCAATTCTTGTTGCTATTTATGTCGGATAGCAAAGCAGAAAAAACTTGAACATTTTTCCCCCTTTTTATAACATCGGATGATATTTGGATTATACATTGTTTGATTGAGGGCGAACTTAAAATATGATTGCATAAAGGATGCAGTGTGTGTGCTAAACATCGTAAAGGTACCAAGTGAGGATATATTTCTTTAAGTAGCCTAAGCGCTTTTGAGATATTGGCCGCGTCATCACCAATCACTACAAAAATTTGTGGGCTGGTCCATATTTTTCTAATATATACCCCATTTCGTGTGTGTAATGTATTCCGAAGTATGTCTATTTGCTTTGGTTAGCAAAAATTCGACAAAGAACGGCTCGGGTTTTGTAATAACGAAATTGATAACACCTTCATTGCGCATAGTGCTCCAACAATCACACTATGAATGCAAATTGCTTTCTGTTTGGTAATGGAAAGATAGGTCGCAATTGTTTAAAAAATTCTTTCCACAAAGGGTGCTCGACCATTGACAAGGGAGAACCCCTCACATAATATACAGGTTGTCTCGTTAAACGTAAGAGGTTTCGGAAGAAAATGCATATAGGCAAAGTGAGCAAGAGTATTTTAAGCATTTTATACTCTTTAAAAAGATATTTTCAGTAAGACCGTTCGGTTTAAAACAAATAAGCTAGAGGGCGTTATCTGCAACGATGCCAGCAATTACATACTTCTGTGATTTTTGAAAAAAAGTTAAATCGAACGGTACTATTTACTTCACAGACCCTTAGCCACCTTAAAATTTGCAAAATATGAGTGAAAACCGCATCTCGATATCGCCATTCATTCTCGAATTATAGAAGAAAATGTTAGAAACTCGAGAGCCCTCAATCGGGTCTAGTTACCTCATCGAGAAAAATAAATCACATAACCATGGTAACTGTAAACATGTCATTTACTAACGCAGAGGCGTATAATGATTTATTTTCAGTGTTTCAAATATGATGCAACTGCATGGCAAAAATGTGCAATGCAATTATGACAAAGAAAGACATTTTTCTCTAGAAGAGTGTTTTTAAGATTGGCTTAGCAATTACGGGAAACTGGCAACGTGTAGCCCATTCAGACATCTCGAAAACAATTGTTCACAAGATTCCTCAAGAGAATAATATCCATATTCTCCACCACATTATTTTATATCAGGCCTTAACAGATACCGATTCTGATAACAGACCGAACTATTATCATTGAGTTTTAAATATGATTCGGGCAAATCCAAACCTTTTACCACAAATGCTATGGATGCATGAAGCATCTTTCCACAAGCTAGTGTAAACTTGCATAGGATGCGTTCTTTATTCAAGCAAAACCCACATTGCTTTCACCCCTTTATCTATGGGGTAGACTAAACGACCTGACTTTTCAAAAAAAAACTAACCAGGGAAAATATGACAAAATACTAAATGCTATTAGAAACGTGTCCAGGGCTGAGACTTAAACAGTGTTTTTTTTTTCGTCGAAACTGGATGAAATAAATGCATCGAGGTTTATGGAAGGCATTTAGACATTTGTGAGCTATTTTTGCCAAACATTTAATTAATTCTAAGTGTTTTGGTATATTTTGTTTTATTATCATTTTTGATGTTTCATTGATCCGTTGGCTTTTAAACACGCCTCAAAAGTAGTTTCGAACCAGTTCTAAGTTTGGATAAAGTGTGAAGGAAGGTTCTAGATAATAAAATTTTTGTTCTCTCTTATTTGTTTCCTAAGGTAACTTGATCCGATTAAGATATACGAATTTTTAACATTTTCTTTTATAATTCGAGAATGGATGGAGATATCGAGATGCGGTTTTCACTAATATTTAGCAAATTTTATGGTGATTAAGGGTCTGTGAAGTAAATAGTACCGTTCCATTTAACATTTTTTCAAAAATCACAAAAATATGTAATTGCTGCAGATAACGCCCTCTAGCTTATTTGTTTTAAACAGAACGGTCTTATTGAAGATATCTTTTAAAAGAGCATAAAATGTTCTTCCAAACAAGACCAAAAATATTCAAATCGGTTGAATGGTCCAGGAGATATTAAATTGTAAACATTTGAAACGCATTGGCTTCTCCCTCACTTATTATGGCAGATCTGCCCCCTAGCGGTCGAATTACGAACTTCAAAATAATTTTACAGCTATTTCTCTTGCCCACTTTGCCTATAAGGATTTTTTCCCAACCTCTAGGCCTTACCGTTGTCGAGATGCAGCCGCTCTGTACGCTTAACGGGACACACTGTATATAGCCTTGGCAAGAGTACCATGTGGTTTGTCCTATAAAATACTCACTAATTTGGTATATCATTCCTGTTACCTTTTAGTTTCTTAAATTGTAATTGAGTTCTTTTGTATCTTTTTAAACTTTTTTTAACCGTATTTATTAACTGTATTTTAGAGGATACTATTGTGGGGATTACCTGTATGTATCGCAAATGGTGAAATAAATAAATAAATAAATACCAAGAAGAGAATTAGACATTTCAAAATTTTAAATTAGATATTAAAATATGACCCTGTGTGTATAAATCGCTTGTTTCTTTCTCGGGTTGTAGTTCTTGATATACTCTTTCTTGGTGCATTCGATCTTGCAACTTCTTATAACACCATCTTGCGCGCATGTGATCTTCTCAATATTTCAATTAGTCAAAACAGAGGATTTTGTGCGTTTATTTAAGCGTTTGTGGTAAAACATTCTACTAAGCCGAAAAGATATATATACTAAGGTAAAAGATATTACTAAGCCGAAATTTGAATTGAGGCGCTGCACTGAGTTGACCAGTTTTGAACAATACATAGTCTATGACTTCATATGAGGCGAAATAACAATAAATAAAACAACTATTGAAATTTTGTAATCTCATATATTTTTGGACTAGTCGATCTAAACAGTACCAATCAAGCAATTCGAACAATCAAAACATATCTAAATTTACCAAGCCTTAGAATATCCGTAACTTGGGAATGTTGGGATGGTGTTGTAAGTGGTTGGATAAGTGTATCCATATCCTGGATTGGAATATCCATATCCTGGGTAAGAATATCCATAAGATGAGGTGGGATATCCATAAGATGTGGTGGGATATCCATAAGATGTGGTGGGATATCCGTAAGATGTGGTGGGATATCCATAAGATGATCCATATCCATAAGATGATCCATATCCATAAGATGATCCATATCCTGAATATCCGGAGTAACCGTAATGAGGTGCAGCGTAAGTGGTTACTTGAGGTACTTTGACGTAAACTGGTGTTTTGACTGCAACTGGAACTGGGTGAGGTACTTCAACTGGGTACGGTTGTGGTACTGGTACTTTAACTTGTTCGGTAACCTTAATATATTCAGGAGTGTGTACTGGAACTGGGATATCTTTTACGGTGGTTACTGGGTATGGTTTTGGTACTTCATAAGGTACTTTAACAGTTTTAATAACGGGTACTGGGTATGGTTTGGGAACTTCAACGGGTACTTTCACGATTTTAACTTCATGGACTGGATAAGGTTTAGGTACTTCATATGGTACTTGAACTTGTTTTGTAACGGTGTATGGAACTGGTTTTGGTACTTCATATGGTACAGCGATCTTAACTGGAACAGCAACTGGTTTGTCGACATGGACTGGTACGGGAACTGGGACATCACGGTTTACGTGAACTGGGTAAGGTTGAGGGATGGGTACTTGAACATCCTTGGTTACGGTATGAACTTGGTTGACGACATTTACAGCTGGTGCTGGGGCAGTGTAAACACCTCCGATGACGTCAGAGGTGTATCCACCAGTGTAAGATGAGGCCGAACCGGTTGCAATAACACCGGAACCGGCTACAATGGAATTAAAACCACTTTCTTCCCCAAAACCATAACCTAAGCTTCTCTTAGGCTTTTTGGGTTCTTCTTTAGCAGATACGGCAAGAACTGCCAACAATAAAACCTATAATTAATAAATTAATTATTATTAGAAAACGATTTATTGGGGAATGATTTACGTACCAAAAACGCTTTCATCTTTGAGCTTGTTTGTTAACCAAATGATACCGATCCCACGAAAAAATCTTGTATTTATACCAGATTCTTCCGAAGGTCGTTTAGTAGTGTAAATGCTAATTTTGTCGCTCGCTTTGCATATCGTCTCACCGTAATATTTAATAAGGTTAGAATAAACATTGGAGATGTAGCGGGACTGTTTATTTCATGTGGCCGACGTCGTGTCCAGGTAAAAGGAGCTTTTGTACGGGAACAAAGCGCTATCAACGGCGCCGTTTGACTCGAAACAAAACAACCCCAGAGCTATTCAAGTTTCTCGTACATACAGCGAAAATGCATTTTGTCCTCGCTATAGGGCCCCAGAAAAGATATTTTCGTTACGTAAACGCGAAACAGGGTATCTCCTGAACGTCTTAGATATAAATATGAAAAGAAAGGGTTTTTGTGTTTACTCGGTAAAAATTTTAGATATAACATAAATCGCTATCAAAAATAATATATTTTTCGTGAAGACGTAACCTTTTTATTAACCAACCTAAAGAGTCGAATAAGAATTGGAAATTACAACTTTTCTTATATTTCCTCACGAGTAACATGTGAGGTAACATCTTTCGTCTAGCACGTCACAGAGGAAAGTTTTTCTATTACAACATGCCTGAATACTCTTCCCTCGTGGAACTCGAATGGGAAATTTAAAACCGAATCCGAAAGATAGCATTCGCCTTTGTGCCGTCCCAAATAAAAGCAAAACGACTAAAACGATTCTGAATTTCGAAGAAACCATTTTAACAAAAATTCAAAAAATCGCTTCTCAAATTATTAATTCGATCGATATAAAAATTTACATACAGCATCCGTGAAGATGCCATTCGCCTTGATTATGTCACTAAGTGACCTGTTATACAAAATTATTTCGAAAACCAACGTTTTATTGGGATCGAATAAATTAGAATTATTTAATATTTCGTGCGTGTTTGGCGAATCCGGGAGTCCTTCAGATCGGGATTCGGTATAAAAAGGACGTTTTTCAAAAAACCCGCATCATTTGTGAGTTGTAAATCCAACTGACACAATATGAAATTTTTCTTGGTAAGTTCATCCAATTTGGTGAAATTAACGTTTTCAAATTTGTATCAATTTTAGGTTGTTTTGTTAGTAGCGGCTGTTGCCGCTAAAAAGGAAGAACCGAAACCAAAGAGGTCTTTGGGTTACGGTTATGGATATTCCAGCGGATTCTCCAGCCTTAACGAAGTCGCTCCTAGCGTTGTTGGCACTGGAATTTCTTCAGCTATTCCTGTATCATCCTTTTCACAATCGGTTTTGACACCAAACGTTTATTCCACACCTTACGTTGCTCAATCAATACCGTTGGCGCAACACAACACACACGGCTCTGTTCTTGGATATTCTACTCCAACTTTCCACCAAGCTTCATCTGTTGTTGCTCACTCTACTCCAGTTTTCCACCAAGCTTCTTCTGTTGTTGCTCACTCTACTCCAGTTTTCCACCAAACTCCCGTGGTTGCTCACTCTACTCCAGTTATTCCACCAAACTCCCGTGGTTGCTCACTCTACTCCAGTTATTCATCAAGCACCGCAAACAGTGGTTGTTCCCCAAATCCAAACTGTAACTAGACAAGTTGGAGTTCCAGTTCCTCAACCCTACCATGTTACCGTTGATAGAAAAGTTCCAATTCCTTACAAAGTCGAAGTACCACGACCATACTCCGTTCCAGTTCATGTTAAGGTTCCCGTTGAGGTTCCAAAACCATACCCAGTGACTGTTGAACAGAAAGTCCCAGTTCCGGTTGAAGTACCTAAACCATACACTGTCACCATCACCAAAAAGGTTGCTGTTCCAGTTGAGGTACCAAAACCATACAACGTTGAAGTAACCAAACACGAACATGTCCCAGTTGAAGTACCAAAACCATACTCAGTTACCGTACACAGGAAAGTTCCTTATCAAGTGAAAACTCCAGTTTACGTTAAAGTACAACAACAAGTACCACACCCCGTCCCACAACCTTACGCAGTTCATGTACCAAAACCATACACGGTTAATGTTCCACAAACAGTTTATATCAATGAACCAGTTGTCCATCAACCAATCGTTCATCAACAATCCGTTGTTTCTCATCCAGTTGTATCTCACCCAGTTGTTTCTCATGGATTTGACACTAACCAATTTGTTTCTAACCACTTCGATCAACAACCAATAATCTCCAACCCGATTAGTATTCCATCAACAGAACATTTAACCTCCGACGTTATCTCTGCCCCATCGACCGGAGTAATCGCAAATAGCGCAATTACCTCGTCTACTTTCGGTGTGCCATCGGCAAGTAGCTTCGAAAGTATTTCAAGTGGATTTGGTAGTTTGGGAACGAGCACTTTCGGTTCCAGCGCATCTATCTCGGGAATTTCCACCAGTTCGTCTACTGAAGAACATTTGGGTTACGACGCTAACGCTAAACCAATTGAAACTACCGTTGACACGAAAATCGATGAGCCCAATGAAATTGTTAACGAAAATAATTAAAGGGAGAAATTGGAAAATGAAAAGATTGAAAAATAAATTGATTTAAAATGAATTGATTACGTGTGATGACTATGTAATGTTTTGCTAGTCTTTAAATAAAGGTGCTTACTTTTGTTTTTAAGAGTTATTGTTTTTTTATAAATTTTAATTCTAATTTACATAAATTTATTAGTATCAATAAATCTTTTGAAAAGCTTAATGTTAATGTAAAAAAAACTGGAAAAAAACTGAAATGAAATGGTCATTCATAATTTAAAAAAAAACGATGATTTTGAAATATGATATTCAAAAATAACATTAATTGGCACTATACTTATCTAAATTAAATCTTTTTCTTCCTATAAGTAACGTCCAAAACGTGTTTTGGAGGTAGATTTCAAATCCCTGGTGTTAAAAGTGAGTTTCAAGAAAAATCCGGCAACAAATCACAACGATTTATTGCAACGATCCGGCTGTTTATTCGAATCTCGAATGGAAATGATCAAGGTATTCCTTTTACGTCCAGTTTCGGTTTTATAAATTATGTATATCCGGTTATTATTGTTTTTTTTTTATTAATTTTTGAATATTTCATGCTAATATGAGAGAAACTGAGAATATTTTTTATGGGGATATGGCTTCTATAATTAATTGGAGTGATCTACACTAAAATTTCAATTTACAAAAATAATGATTACATTATGAAACTCTAATAATATTCCAGTTTCCACAAATTGTGTCGTTCAATACCACTTCGACATAATGTGTTTTCCAATATTATATCGATGTGGTTCCATTTGTTGCGCCTCAATCGCAAACGACCTCGGCTGAACCCTATTCTCACCCTAATCTTAGTGTAATACCATCGCACGAAGGGTGACAAAAATCGAAAAAATTGTTTTCGCCCTAACGGAAAAAACTGAAAAATTAAAAAAAAACTTGTGTGTACTGGGCTTAAGTTGTTGTAAAATTGTTTCAAAATACGTCAAGTATAACAAAACTGAATAAAACTTTACAATGAATTAGCGATATTTAATTTATTGTATAATATATTATTATACATTATCGAAACTTGTTATTGACAATTCATAATTCATAATCTTTATTGTGTTACAGATACAACATGTTCACACTTGTCAAATTTTATATTATATTATGTAGTGTCATGTTAAAGAAAAAAAATAACATATAAAATTACATAAGATTATAATAGACAACATTAAGTGCTAAAGGTGGTAATCATCTCAAGACTCATATATTCAGAGGTCGAGTAGTACGCCCTTGTAACAAGAGTTTGTTTAATATACTCTTTAAAGCCCTTCAATAGCAACTGACGGACGTGTAATGGCAATTTATTAAAAAATTTCACCGCCAACGCATTCACACTTTTCTGGCATTTTGTTAATCGTGTATATTTGGGTATCAGATCGCTATCTTTCCTAGTATCATAGTTATGCACCTGCTTATACGTGCCAAACTTATTAATATTCTTTTTAACATATGTAACACATTCGAGAATGTAGAGAGACGGTAGAGTTAATATTTGTAAATCAATATAGTTGCTTCTACAGTCGTCTCTATAATTTAAATTTCTTAATACCCGTTTCTGCATTCTAAATACGCGTTTAAAACCAGCAGCAGAGCCCCAGACTAACAATGCATAAGTCATTGAGGACTGACACAGCGCAAAGTATTGTGTGCGTATAACTGGTGGAGATACGTTCCAACGCAGGTTTAGCAACAAATAGATGCTGCCACTTAATTTACTACATAATGTCAAAATATGTTCCTCCCAGCATAGCCCGGAATCAAGATAAACGCCCAAAAACTTTACAGCAAAAGGAGACCCCAAGTTCCCTTTAAGAACCCTTTAAGTTCTAAATATCAGGAAAACTATATATACTAGATATATATGACATACTTATCATTAATTATAGGGAACTTGATGAGCAATTCAATTAGCACACAATATACAAGGTGTTCCATTTACAAACCTTAAGAAAAAGCCATTTGAAAAACATCAAAAGTAACTAAGCTTTATAAACACTCTGTATAGTATATCTAATATCTTTGAAAACTATCATCTACCTACTGGCTTTGACTATTGCCTGACGTAGTTTCAAGGTAAAATCGGAAAAAATGTCGTTTTTACATCGTTTTTAAAAAGATCCTGTAATGGGCACATTTTGGAAGAACAATTGAATATCTCAGGAACTATGAACGCTATGACTTAGTAACATATACGGCTATACATATAAACAAATTTAATGCTATAAAACCATGTAAAAACTTCTAACTTGCATTTATTTATATAAAGTCGTACTAGTTTCGGGTTACCCCATTATCAGCGACAAAGTCAATGAAGCTATAATAGGTGTAGACTGGAAATCAGATAAAAATAAAACATATTGCTATCTGATGGATAAACAAAATAAAGATAAAAGATGAAATAGGAATGGCGACGTTAAAAAGTCTGGAATGTTAAAAATTAGAAAAACTTTAAGAAGATGTTGGTGGGATGAGATGAGGCGAGACTCATTTGGAGTGTGATGAGGCAGACAGTTTTATTTGATTATCAATCTTGCAACATGGATAACTCTTTCAAATTTAATGCTATTCATAATATGATAAAATATACAGGATGTTCCGTTTAAAAAATCTACATACTCTCCGTTACGCTTAAATGGAACAACGTGTATAAGTGAAAATAATTTTATGTAATAGAAAGTGATGAGTCAAACAACTTTTGTATAAAATATTTTTTTATTTTTCAAACGGTTTAGTAACTATAAGTACGAAGGCTTTCACGGCTGGTGTGAATTAAACTAAAATTAGAACTAAAACTAGAAACTTTCGGGTTTTGCCGTGCGTCTTTTAATAAAAGGTTTGACGTTTCGGATGCCATGTTGCAACCTTCTTCAGAAACTGGTTCGAAGTGACGAGATCAAAAATCGGTAACTATATATAAGTCGGAAAAAATAATTAATAATCAGTTAACGCTAATTACAAGCTAATAAATAACTAATTGCGTCGCGTCCGGTGTGAGGCGGGAAGAGGTCTTCGTGTTCACCACCATCTTCCATGTTCTGCTAAGCTCCCAGCCATCCTCTCTGTTGACGTTATTTTTATGTTGGTGGATCTCTATGGCTTCTCTTGTCAGTCTTTGGTAGTATCTGTTGTCCCAAGCCAGCACCTTTGTTTGTGCGAAGTCTATTCGGTGCCCCTCTGCATGGCAAAGTTCCGCAACCGCCGACTGCCGGATAAGGCTTCTTCAGCCTTACATCCCTCTCATGCTCCTTGATGCGGCACTCGACGTTGCGTCCAGTTTGGCCAACATAAACCTTCCCACAACTACACGATAGTCGATAGACTCCCGCTCCTTTTAATGGAGTTAGTTTGTCCTTGGCTATCGGGAGTGTGTTCCGAATTTTGCTGACCATGCCGTACCGCACTACGATGTCGTTCTTCTTGAGGTGCCTAGCAATTCGTTCTGTTACACCTGAAACATAGGGAAGACAGATAAATCCAAGTGGTTTTGTACTTACCGTGTCCTCTTTCTGCTTTCGCTGCTTGGTTTAGTAACTATTGACCGCCCGGATACTAATAACTCACCCTGTATAATAATAATTTATTGTCTCTAGAAAATTAAAAAATATAATATTAAAAAAAAAGAAAAACATTATCCATAACTAATCTAAATCCCACCTCTTTCCTCAGCCACTCCCTGTCTCCCTACGTCTCCTTGCTGAGACCACCTCCTTCCAATCACTCCCAATTCTCCAATCAATCACCTCCTCCTTCAACTCACTACACTCCACCAGCAGATGGTAGAGACTTCCAGCCCTCCCCACACAGCTTGCACATCCTCTCCTCATCTTTCATCCAATATCTGTTGGCCCTTTCTTCATTCCCACACTTAAACCTGGCTACCAACTGGCTTCCCCTCTGTCATGAGGTACTTTGGTAGCCCCTTTACTACAACTTCATTATATTTTGGATTTTACCTGCTTTTTCTTATCACCGTCTATTTATCTTGCATTCCCACATCCCTGTCCCTGCTCTCTAGTTCTGTCCATATCTCAATCCTGTTCTCGTCTTCCGTTAAATACCTCACCCTTTTGTAGTATTCCTCCCTTTCTCGCTGTCCATAACGTTTTTACTTGCCTCAATTTATCTGTAGCACTTCCCCAAGATTTTACAATGCCCTCTACCTTCCACCCTCTTTTTATCTACCTTCATTCTGCGCTGACTATACTGGATGTTTCAGAATTGCACGGCACTATTTTAGAGATGTATTCTTCATCACAAAATAAAGAAAAAAGTTCATATAAACATATGTCCCAAATTAATTAAATTAATATTAAATTTGTCAATGAAGCGGTCAGAGTAAATGTTCAAAATGGTTCTCGTTTTGTTGAATGTAACATTGAGCACGATGAATCCACGCTTCATCGGCCATTGATAATTACTGCGGCTTCCACGATGCGATTTTTGAGCTCTCCTTGGGTGCCGATAGATGTAGAGTAAACCATAGATTTCATCCGTTAGATTTTTTCATTTAATAGTAGATATTTAATCATCTGTCAAGCAAAAAAACAATATGCGATTGTTGTTTATGGCTACTTACTTGATTAACGCAATACTTTCAGATATTTTATTTCAACTTTAAATATCTCGGTATTAAACTAATTTGGGACATATGTTTATACGAACTCTCGTGCTGAAGAATACATCGCTAAAATAGTGCCGTGCAATTCTGAAACAGCCTCTATATCGCGGAGTCTCCCTAGCCAACCTCAACACCTACCTTCAGTACCTGGTCTGCACATTCTTTAAAAGTCCTTACTCTTTCCATCCCCATCCCCATCCCCAAATCAGTCTCATAGCCTTATTCACCCTCGCAGCCAACATTCTAATATGTCCTCCCTCCTTGCAAAGCTGGTATTCCTTCATGCTATAATTAGGGTTCAAAAGAGAACCGACATTCCTTCACAATATAATTGGGATTCAAAACAAAATTGACCTATCCTAACATTTCTTCACGTTATAATTGCGTTTTCTTCACGGTATAATTAGGGTTCAAAAGAAAACCGACATTCCTTCACGCTATAATTAGGGTTCAAAAGAAAGCCCACATACCTTCA